ACCGGATCTAGTAGAGGATTTAACAATGCAAACACATTGTTGAAAATTATAAATAGTGTATCAATTATTTCAGATCCATTTCCCTTGTAGAGAAGGACTACAGCAATACCTCGTAGTATAACTACTACTAAAAGAAGTGTTATTATCAGACCAAGCGTTACTAAGTTTTTACGCATCCTTACTTTATCTTCCTTTGTCAATTTGTTGACCGTAAATACTTTAATTCGATAATTTTTATGTGAATTAGTTATCCGATATACCACAACTCCGTAACAAGAGGTAATTAAAACAAAAACACAGAGACAAGGAATGTCGTGTGAAAAAAGAATCAATGGAACAGCGGTGTGTTTAGGTTCACAGGCAATAGGTCCACCAATTGTTTCTATTCCAAATCTCATCAAAGCAATGATGTGACAAAGTATACAACAAAGTACAACAGATTTGTTACTGGTTAAATGCGCCAATATTCTTTTCTTTGGTGTAAATGTTGCATTAAGTCGTTCGAGGCATATCAATAAAGTCTGTATAAAAGACCACAATAGTGTTCCACATATTAGATGCGTCAACATCATGCACTGGTATTGGAATGTAGCACTTTTTGAATCCATTAAACGCAGAATATTATGATAGATGAATTCTAGACCTAATGCGATATCACTGAGACTTAGATACAAAACTAATACCACGAAATGATTCTTTCTTAATTCTTTTGAAGATATCAATATGTATATGGAGCAACCATGAAGCAACAGTAGTAAAGTAACAATTCCAAAATTACCTATCTTTATAACTTGCCACATTGTTTATTCAATATAATGGCATGAAATTTAATCCATACAATGGCATGAAATTTAGTCCATACAATGGCATGACATTTTGTCCATACAATGGCATGACATTTAGTCCATACAATGGCATGAAATTTAGTCCAAACAGTGGCATGGAATTTAGTCCATACAATGGCATGAAATGTTGTCCATACAATGGCATGAAATTTTGTCCATATAATGACATGGAATATATCCTATACAATAGCATGAAATGTAAGGCAATATCAGCATCTGATTCATAATGAAATCCGCAAATCGCCATAAATGATTATCATATTATCAATTAACTTTTAACACCTGAGTAAGATCTTGTTATAGAAATCCTATTGCTTATTTGGCAGTTGGTTGAGAGAAAAAATATTGTCATGACAATCGCATTATCTCCCTAACTTAAAATCACGAATAAGACATTAAGGAATACCACCACCTGAGAAGATAATGGAATAACTGTCATACGGACTTGGTCATGATGCTTTGATTATATTTTATGTTAACTTTGCATCGGATCTGAAAAAACAAAGAAAGCAAAAAATACAATATGTGTATCTTATGTCTGCTTAATGATCTCCAGTATTCAAATAAAATGAATAAACTATAGTCATCTGTCATGAAGTTATATACTGAAAATGATATAAAAGTGTGCAGTCATGTACACTTGGTGCCTGTTTTGTTTTTTTTTTGTTGTTGTTTTTTGTTCGTTTTTTTGTGTTTTTAATATGTTTGCCAAACACGTTGCATACTTGTTGTCAATATAATAAAATATTTATCTTTAGGACTTGAAATCCTGTTATTATTGTACCATGTATACTATAGCACACCGGAAATTGTTTTTGTATTTATTATACGTGATATTTTGTTTGGCTAATGCGAGGGAGATATTCTACTCTAACCCATGGCTTATATTGTATTCTAACATGACGTTCTTCAAACGCTTTGAGTACACACCCGTGGTAAAATATGAATATATTGTTTGAGCTGTTCCGATCGTACTCCCGCGTCACATGCTTTTTTATGAATGAGCTACCCGACGTCATAGAATGATGACGTAAGAATATAAGCATTTTACGGGAAAATACACGCTTGTGAAACCGAAAATCATCACAACAAGGAAACGTAAACAAACGATGCTATAATGTGTTATATAAGCCATTTTTTTTTTACATATAAGACATATAAATACAATTATCATTTAGATTTATCCAAACCTATCTAAATATGTCATTGTAAATAGTTTAAGCATGCCATTTATTCAGTTTGCTCCGTTCTTTTACATCAATTTAATAGTGCGTTTATTTATGGGAATGGCAAATAATGCCTTTACCTAGACCACTTCGATCTAAAAGAATTGCCGTATTTGTCCTATTAGAATCGAAATAATTCATGGGGGCTTGAATATATCGTGATTTTACCGCGGGTTGTCCCTTTATGCCGATATTTTACCCCTCGCTATCGCTCAGGGTAAAATATTTGTCATAAAGGGCCAACCCGTGGTAAAATCACGATATATTCAAGCCCCCATTAATTATTTCTTAATTACCCTTCTCGGAGATGTTTTATCGATTGCGCGCTTTACTTAATACAGATGGTTCTTATGTTCATATGACGTCATAGTTATAGTCTATAATAACAGAACATTCAGTTTAATAAATTAAATAAAGCTGAGGGTTGATAGAGAAGATTGTTAATCCTCGAAAAGAAATCATTGTGAATCTTTTGTATGCTACCAGGACAGCGCAGAGGATTCTGTCACAACAGTAAGTGAACTGTAGAAGCGAGAACACTTATTTATAGGTTGTACCTCCTCTTGTGATCAATGACTTAGAAGTTTGGTTTTATTGGTAACCATTATGTTTGAAAGTTAGTTAATTATTTTCATTATAGATCGAGAGAATTGTGTAAGAAAGCTGGTAACGCTGATATTTTAACAAATTAAAAATAAAGGGATTATGTTCAGTGAACCGGAGGGGAAAGGGGGGGGGGGGGGGGGGGGGGAGTTAAGCATATAACCAAATCTTTCCCTTTACAGTCTCGGTATTTTTGACTAGGGAGTATCAAAAATTATGTCGGGTACTTTATTTTTGATTTAATGCACCGAACTGTTTCAACATTTCTCAACTCAACAAAACAGTGAAAGAGAGGCGAAAAATACCAAAGGGATATCAAAACTCTTAAGTCGATAACAAACTGACAATGACATGGCATAGAAAATAAAAAACGACCAAAAAACAAACAACAGTCTAAAACACACAACATAGAAAACTAAAAGCTGAGCAACACGAACCCAACCAAAAAACCTACTTCACATGTGTCACCGTCGTGAAGCTCATGTTAGTTCAATTAACACGCTGATAAATGAAGTAAAGAATCATTTAATAAGGGAAAGATTAGGTTAGATGATACATTTAATTGGTATATACGTTTGTTAAAGTTTATTTGTTTTATAATTTATTTATCAAATTATAAATTGTCAATTGATACAACATTTTATTGTTATAACGGCGATCTTTTTTCAATCCAATTGCGTTAATCTAAGTTTGCGGGAAGACGATTGGTAATCAAAGTGCCGGGCGTCATTCGAAATGATTAGTTGATTAAAGATTTGCCAAATAATCCTCCAAAAATGACCTTATATTGGGTGTTTTCAGATCATATTCGAGCGACAAACAAATCTGACGGATCAAAGTGCAACAACTTATTCTGCCAATCTGCCTAAGAATCAGGAAGTGGTGGTACAAACAAAAACTCCACTCAAGTTTACATTAGTTTCTGTTCAAAATGTATAATAGTTCACTCATTTAAAATTCGTTTCCTTTTCCTGCTCTGGTATTTCAAGATATAATTTAAGTTGAAATACACCAGAATTTATCAATTAAGGGGAGGTAATTCCGTAATTTGCAATCATCCTAACCAAAAGTTATCTAGATATTTCTCGAATTACCAGACACGCAGAAACGAAAGACTCGCCATTTCTTACTCAGTTTGAGGGTAACTTCAAAATAATGGCTTGGTGGGTGGGTTTTTTCGGCCTTGTTTTGAAATCTTCTAAATTGCTTGATTCTTACAAAGACTGACACTTACTTAATTAGATCTACATTTAGTAAAATTAATGTACCTTCTGTTAAAGAAGTGCATATAAGTCTAATAGGTATCACCCAACATTGACTACGCACGTTAAGGTTCTGTTTTTTAAGAGTACTCCCCATTTACTTTAAATTTTTAAATGACGTCGTTTGGTATATATGTTGGTTATCGGATGAACTTGAAAAAAGGTGTCCTGACCTTAATATAAAATTTACAGTTTTGTTGTTTTGTCATTCCACAGAAACTGAATAGGAAGACAATAATATTATGTTTTTAATGGCTTTGTAGACAATTATTACGATTACGATGAGAAACTCACATGCAAGAAAAAAAACAACAATTAAAGTAAGGAAATTGTACCCACTATATATATTTGATTGATTGTTGGTGTTTAACGCCACTTTTAGCACTCTTGGCCATTTCGTTGATGCAAGTTTTCATTGGTGGAGGAGGCCAGAGTGCCTGGACGGAACCACACGCATTTGGAAAGCATATGGCATCATATTGCAGTTAGCAGTTGTTTGCTCTTTCTCCTAAATAACACTTGCTTGGCGAAGAAACAGTTAATACCACTTATCAAGTCTTTGGGTTTTCCCAGACTGTTGATTGAACAATCAACCACTTGTACTCGGTATGGAATTTTACGATTTGAGGTTTTTTTTATAAAACATAACATTCCAGATTAGTATAAACATTCGGAAGCCAGAAAAAAAATTTTTCACGTGACAGTTTGGTAAATACATTAAATCACACACATATTGTTGTATAAAGCGTCTTCTAGGGACATATTTATCACTTACAGCTTCCTTATATCTAATAAACAGACTTATCATCGCCGTATACTGTCACTTTTGTCAGTACACGAAATTCATTATATCCGTAAGATTGGCAATTACCTATTGTAGACTCTCGTAAAGAAATAGTTTGGACATCATAAGATAATTAATAAAAAAAAAATGAAAATGTCATTCTTCAAGAGAGTTTCAAATGCAAATATGGAAAAATATACCTGTATATTTTTTATTTTACTTTTATTCGTTTTATCTTTTTATCTTTGTTTGATACTCTATCTTTCAAACTTTATTGATGTTTTAAAAAAAAAAATAAAAAAAAAAAAAAAAAAAAAAAAAATCTTAATATTTTTTAAAACTTCGGGCAAAAATAGACGATTTTCTCAACTAAAGTGATTTTAAAACTTGTGGCGTTAGTATTACAATGTAAGTGTAATATATATTTTTATCATGAGTTTGTGGATTCCGCCAGATCTTTTCGAGTAATAAACTTAATGTTATTTTTGGAAGAAAATGGATGTTGAGTATAAGTTATTGAGACAGCAACCCGACGACACGAAATAACCAGATGAAATGTATGAATATATATTTTGGATATGGACTTTTATATACTTATATAACGTAAGGAGATGTTGAATGATTCAATTGAGACAACGATGAAACAAAGTTGATAGTATAACTACTTATATTAAATCAAATGATGACAGTCAAAATTTACTACTCCACTTTAGATAATCCCCACTTATTTGTGTCTTCCCTTGCAAAGTGCCAATATGACGTATATGCAAACCGAAATTGGTGCTATCAGATAATTTAATTGATCTTGTATTATCTTAGTGTAAAATATTTGATATATCTTTCTGATAAACTAGAACACACCCGTGACATCGCGGGTCCGTGGATGAATTAAAGTACATGTACCTATGCTTTAATTTCAGCCTGTTTTTTTAGTACTCGTACTTTCATCTGATAAAGTCATGCTGATTATTGTAAGATGCACAGTTTTCTCTGCTTTCAAAATCTTTGTTTGAACCCGTCCTGGTTTTCTTACTACAATGAACTTACTATAAACTACATGTAAATATATTTTTGATTTAATTAACCTAAATTGACAGTGACGGATCCAGAAATTTTCATAAAAAAGGACCAACTGACTGTCATTAGAGGGGACCCGCTTAGACATGCTTCAGTGATTCCCAATATAATCAACCAAATTTTTCCCACAAAGGGTGGGGGCTGGCAGATAGAAGACGATTACAGAACTTGTAACTACAACCGGAAACTACATGTGACATATGTATACTATTGGTATCGGTATCGTATTCGACCCGGAACTTGTTAATTATTGGTAATGTTAATTATTTGGAAAACAAAAGGGCCTGGAATGGTATAATTTTTAAACAACACCATTGTCCAATATTAGTTATATATAAAGTTGACTTCTTTGATTAGTCGTTTTTAGGTCATGTCGGCTAACAAATTGGACCTCGTTTTTTTAGTAGTATAGATAGGTTGAAAACTATTTTTTAATTTTTTCATGATAAACTAAGGTATGACTGATATCAATATACCGTTATTAACTGGTAGAAATTAAATAAACTATTCCCAAGAAAATATTGATTTATCGGATTTGACAATATCTTCGTCAGTACAAAATGAGCTGTTTTCTTAATTCACCATTTTCTACATAAGGAGATGCCTGTACCAAGTGTTAGAATATGACAGTTCTTTTCCGTTCGTTTCATGTGTTTGAGCTTTTGATTTTGCCATTTGTTAACGGACTCCGTTTTGAATTTTTCTTGGAGTTTGGTATCTTTTTATTTTGCTTTTTATATCATACATCTCGAATGTCTTTTTGGTAAAGTGCATCAAAACATGGTCAAAATTACTTATGTTTAACAATACTTATTATAAATAGAACACATTTGGGGTTGATGATAATTAAACCTGTATCTTATAGAAATTATTATTTTGTCTGTACTTCTTTATCTTATCATATTTGGTTATGACGTTCAAGACAAACAGATTATCATTATTTCAGGCAAGAACTTAAAAAAGACTACGTTTATGAGTTGTTGTCAATTTGAACACTTCTCGTATGCTAGGTATCAGTCGATCTCGTCCTGTCTCTACTCCGACCGAAGCAATTGCGCAACATCGGTAGAATGTCGCAATACATCGGAGGCAATGCCGCAATACATAAACACGGCATTATAACCAGCTTATCTTCCAACAACATTACTATTCAGTTCCTGGCTCCTACTTTCACAGAAGTCGTCGAGATTAAGGAGAGATAACTGCAATGGAGACCATGTTACACTGTATCAACAACTTTATTTCTTTAAAACAAAACGCTTGTTAAAACAGAGTTATCTATCTTATACTATTTGATGTCATGAACAAAATTCGTGAAATTATTCGAAGAATGTTAATTGTGTAATTAATGTGAACCTGAATATAAATTTTTAAACATTAATTATGATTTAAGACAATTTATTTTACAATGTTTCTAAAAAATAATTTACTCATGAAAACGAACAAGTGAACACTATTTTACTATTAATGTTTGGAGAGTTGTGTGGCTTTGGGGATAAAATACTAGATCAATAATTCAAAGTAGACATAAAGGAGGCGCTCCGCTAAAAAGTAGTAGTTTAGAATATTGGTATTGTCAATGGGCAATTACTATCGATTCATTAACGAAAAATGAAAGATAATACATTTTAAAATGTTGCCGCCAAAACTTGATCATTATAAAACCAGCGTAACTGTAAGCATTTGATGAGTCACATGTTGAAACACACGATTTCTATGTGCTGCAAGCGGAATTGTGAGACGTACGTATGGAAAATAAGATGGTTGATAAATTGGTCTCATATAAATAACTAGCAGCTTTTAATTGTTTAAGCACTTTTTTCGACATCTGTCAAAATCAATCGAGCTAAAAGGTAGACATCTAGTTAAATTATATATATCATTTACAACATCATGTTTTTAATATTCACTAAAATTTGCAAGATATCTCCTTCTGAGTACGTTTTAAGCTTAATTATCAGCAAACTATTCATTCAAACCGTTCTCTTGTAATCATTGATACTAATCTCATTTGCTTTAAAGTGTATACTAATGATTTCGTACAAAGGATAATACACTTTGGCATAATGCTGAGTCAACAGTCTTGCCTCCCGTGCTTTTTATAATCAAACATGCATTTAACCGGAAAGTATAAAAACGTCTACTTAGGGAAGAACTAGCCCCTTAAATTCCATTCGTGCATTTGTAGGGCCGGAGTTGGATATCATCAAGATGCCCTCCACTTTCTGGCAATCCGCTTAGTTGAACAATATAGTACGAGCAACGAACAGAACTAAAATCAAGCTTAAAAAGACGACATTCTGGCCATTGACATTGAAAAACTCCAAGACAAACTGGGCTGAAGCAGTAATTGGTGACCTATAACATTCAAGAACTCTGGTGTTAGATAGCCTGAGTCGTATTTGGGACATTTTTTTTGGAATTTTTGGTTTTCAATGCTCTTCAACCTCATATTTTATTTTGCCTTCTACTTTGTGAGCGACAGTGATGAATCTTATGTAGACGAAACGCGCGTCTGGCTTATCAAATTATAAGCCTGGGGCATGTTTATCGAAGTGGTCTTAGGATGACATGTCTTGTGACTCCTAAGACCATCTTGGGACATATTCTTTTCCTAATTAGGTTTATTAAACATTTCGTAACTTAGGAAATTTAAAAGAAAATGTCCTAAGCTTAGAACACCAATTTAGATGTCTTTAGATGATCTTAGGATGGTCCTAACGTTAGGATCTATTTGTGATGATGAAATTGTAAACCAAGCTACCACCGTCTATATACGTTTATTTAAGGAGAAGGGCAAATAATTTTGGTAGAATTATACTGCTTATTGAATATAATAATTAACTGAGCTATTTGGATGACATTGATAGTATACTTAATAGATATAGGAAGATGTGGTATGAGTGCCAATGAGACAACTCTCCATCCAAGTTATAATTTATGAAAGTAAACCATTATAGGTCAAGGTACGGCCTTCAACACGGAGCATTGGCTCACACCGAACAGCAAGCTATAAAGGACCCCAAAAAATTACTAGTGTAAAACCATTCAAACGGAAAAACCAACGGTCTAATCTATATAAAAACGAGAAACGAGAAACACGTATGAACTACATAAACAGACGACAACTACTGTAATCAGATTCCTGACTTAGGACAGGTGCAAACATTTGCAGCGGGATTAAACGTTTTAATGGTACCAAACCTTCTCCCTTTTCTGAAACAATAGTATAACATCACAACATAGAAAAACACACTATAAAATATCAATTGGAAGGCTTAACTCAATCAAAAAACGTAAATTAACACACAATGAACGAATAAATTTGACCTGTGACACCTGAATGCAAATACACAGTTAATAAAAAATTACAAGGGATAAATAATTAAAGTCAAAAGTAAATAAACAGGTTTAAACAAAGTTAGAGTATGTTATCACTGTGAAATTTTTTCAAACAATTTATAGAAAATCATCACTTTTGAAGAAACCTGAGTCATATTATACACAGGTAAATGAAAATAATTTTGTTGTTATGTATACTTCTTCTTCTGTGTGTATAACATCTTCCGTTTAGGAATACCAAGAAATTTCTTTAATATCAATAAAACTAATCTAACACTTGGTACATATGGGGTGAATATCAACAATAAAAATATACTAATTAGTGCTAGATAAAACTTCCTGTACAAGTCCAAGAATAGCCTCTAAGGAAAAATGAAATAATTTTGATGTTCATAGTAGGAAGAAGTGAAAATTTGTAGTAATTAAATACCAAATAATCAAAGCTGGTATATAGACAAGATCCATGTTAACATTAAATAACAAAAAAGCATTACAAATAGTATCAACAGGTAAAATTAAAAAGAAAGTACGATTTGAGAGTACTCGCAGTTACTGACAGCTAGTTCAAAGCCAAAACAATTAATAATAAAAAATCATGCATCAGAGACTAAAATCAACTAAAATACATCCCAGGGATTTAGTATTTTAACGTCATGAACAGTCAAAGAAGACATGACTTGTGCAATGCCAAAAATAAATGTATCGACAGGTAGTAGGATAGTTAGGAGTGACTTCTTTATAGATAAAAATGAACGTGTGTGTGTCTCTATACATCCCGTTTGAAAAGAAAATACAAATTTAGTTATGTTTTAATTTGCTAATGACAAAATCGATATTAGTGCCAATGTAAACTATATTCAGAGATCTAATTATAACATTGGTACGATAACCCTTACTAATAAGT